GGGGGGGGTCCAGAGAACAAGAATACACAGCATGCCTATACTACACCCCCTCACCCCTCACCCTTTTTCCCATTTGTTTTTCCCATTTGTTTTTCCCATTCCATGAACAAACATTATAATTTGATAGGAGGGCTCACAATTAGTAAAAGTAGCCTACAACAATTTTTAAAAAACTTAACAATCAATTGAGCTATTAAGAATAACACAGAGCAAGAGTGAGTACAACCTCAGGAGGTCGACACACGCGACAACATACTATTTATGTATCTATTTGTTTAAGCGGCTGATCAATCATTAATTTATCAACTGCAGTGTACACATATATATAAGGCTCTAAAATGCGCATCATACATGGGAGGGGGGGGGGAACCTTCATTACACATTAAATCATAATCGTGATTACCCTTTTACAAATACCATGTAGGCCCGTGTAGGACAACGTCATGTAAGATTAAATATTAAATTACGACAGGTAAAATGTACCACAAATCCATAATAGGCTCCTAAGGCTAAGGAGAAGTGACCAAAGCCAATCTCAAGATTTGAAGACAAACTGGGAAACGAAAGTGTGTTCAGAAAAAAAAAATTAAACATTTTTTTCTTCCAATAATACAAGGAAAAACCCTACCGCGGATTTTGTTTAAAACGGCACCAGAATATTGCGCAGTTTAGAGTCTTTGAGTCAGTCAGTCTGGGAATACGATCGATGTCTGGGCAATTGTGAGATGTGCTGACAAAATGAGTTATTTCTCACGATCCAAGAAGGGAGATATCGGCTGAAAATCCACACTAAGGTCAGATTTATAGATGTTCAATTGATGCTATTCTGTTCACGTTTACTGTATCTTTTACTATTCCAAGCTCACAAATTGTACAAACTTCACATATCTATCAAGTTGATGTATCAATTTCCATAATGCTCAAATCCGAGAAGTAACTCATTTTGTCAGCACATCTCACGATTTCTTTCTATATTCGCAAAGTACAAAAGCAGCAGTATATTTGTTTGTCTCTGGATCCTAACTTAAGACCTAACTAACTAGTAAGTATCATGTGTAAGTAAGTGTTTACGGCTAGTTACACTACCCTCTATCACACCAGACACACACAAGGCGTCAGCAGCAATTAGCCAACATTTTTAAAGTAAAAATCAAACTAACTGCATTTCCTACTACTCTAATATCGTAACTCAAACAATAAACAGTCTAGATTCTAGATTTAATTGACAAATAATAGACTACTCCTCTCACAATAATAATACATGTATATTATTATATTATATATAGATCTAGATCTACTCACACACAGCAAGCACGCGAGTCAGACCGCGAGAGCGTCGAGTCCGTTATCACAAAGTATACACACGCTAACTGATTTCGTCCAGGACATTTATATTATTATAACACATACACCCTGTCCTGTCCTATCTGAGAGTTGAAGAGTTGAACACAAACCTACCCCGGATAGGCTAACTGATTGTCCAGGTCCGTCCTGTCTGAGAGTAGAACACAAACCTCGATCTATCTACATCTAGATCTACCCCGTTAACAACGAGAGAGTCCACCTACAGCACACGAGGGGGGTGATGCAATCCTGCCTGCCCGCCTGAGACTGAGACACGGAAGCCGACAGCGACAACACTCAACACACGAGGCTTTGGCTTAGGTGTAAGACTGACTCGACTCAGTTTTCCCGCGTTATTATCGATCACCAGAGAAGAACAAGTTTCAGGGGTAGAGAAAAATCCGCGTTCGTCTGTGCGTAGATCTAGATCTAATTAAGAGACAACACACGGTAAAGAATTAACCTAATTAATTGAGTTGGCGTACTCGCTGAGACGGAAAATACACATACGGTGTGTGTGTGTGCGTGTGTGAGAGAGTGTGTGTGTGCGTGAGAGAGAGAGAGAGAGAGGGAGAGAGAGAGAGGGAGAGAGAGAGAGAGCACCTGAGAACACACACACACA